CGTAATACTTGAACTGCCCCTAAGGACAATTAATTCACAATTACGAGGGAGAAAGAGGATTGATACTAATGAGGAATCTTATTGCTAGCAATGTACCATGTCAGGTTGGCCACGCGGTTTCCCCAGGAAACCACCGTGATAAGTTCATGGCGAATTTGTCACGATGGGCTAACTGACCTGACCTCATGCTCATCTTATCATCCTCCACTGGTGCCCCGCCAGCGTAAACCGTTAGCGCAGGCGGGTGCACCATTCCATTATCATCCATAAAAAAAATCGATAAATTATAGACATATTAAGTGTGCTCACCACGATGTCTGCATTTGACAATATCCTTGACATCTATAATAAAAGTCGTGAAAGTATATTACTATATTATCATTTTTTTATTTTTATGGTAATTTTTTTTCTCGGGACAATTCACACAGCGCCATCTAGTCCCTCGGTAAACTAGCTAACGCTTGTGTTATGGGTACTAGATAACTGATACAAATACATAGATACATACTTTTTTTCGGAAATATAGTACATACATATTATATATAGAAAACACCCAGACCGACACTAACAATCGTACTCATGAATATGATTTGTTCCGTGCGAGGAATCGAACCCGCGACCATCGGGAGCAAGGCGGTGTGCTAAACCGCTAGACCACCGAGGTCGTCCAATTAATCTATATACATATAAATAAAATTGGAGTGTCTGTTTGTAATATTGAAATAACCGTTTTTTACTACATGCAAATGAATATAAATACGGTACATACACCAAAATACAAATTTTGTCTGTCTGTCTGTTTGTTCCGGCTAATCTCAGAAATGGCTGGACCGATTTTGACGGGACTTTTTGGCAGGTAGCTGATGTAATAAGGAGTAACTTAGGCTACTTTTATTTTAGAAAAATAAAGTTATATTCCACGCGGACGAAGTCGCGAGTACAGCTAGTTCTAAGTATAGTTTAGTCATCGCAGGGTCGTGGAACTTAGTTAGCACTTTCTAACTGCAGATTGTATCGGTGGTTTGCACTATATATATGCAAATGAAGTCTGATAAACTGTCTGTAACTAACTAGAGCTCACGTGAAAGATTAATAATGAGTTAATATTTAGTCGACACTGTAATTTCGTGGTTATCTATTAAACTTTCGTGTTTAATACATATGAATATAGTTAAACTGATCTTATTATGAATTATTTTATGGTAAATAAAGGTTTGGATAGGTTGCACTAGCCGTTTGGCATGTGCTGACTGCAGTATAGCGATGTCAATCATTATACAGTATAAAACAAAGTCGCTGTCGCTGTCTGTCCGTCCCTATGTAGGCTTATATCTTTAAAACTACGCAACGGATTTTGAAGCGGTTTTTTTAATAGATACAGTGAGTCAAGAGGAAGGTTTATGTATATAATACATGCACGCCCGTGCGAAGCCGGGGCGAGAAGCTTGTAGAATAATAATAATAAATTGTTAATTGAAGTTCAGTTGAGAAGTCTTACTTTATTATTGTTCAGTTCTTAAGATCAGTTGTTTTGAAGAGCAATTTAAAAGTTGGCCGCCATTTTTATATTTTCCCGCCTTTTCTTTATATTAATTTTAATAATCCTTGTTATAGTTTTGAAGAGACATTAAGAAGATGGAATTAGGATCGCCGCCATTTTTATTTCTTACAGTTTTCCGCCTTTTCTGTATATTATTTTAATTTTTAAAAAGCAATTTAAAAGATGGCATTTGAATCGCCGCCATTTTTGTTTTATTTTAATTTTCCCGCCTTTTCTTAACATTAAAGTTAATAAACCTTGCTATTGTTTTGAAATTAAAAAATATGGAAGATTTATTTCTTAGTTTTCCCTCTTTTCTGTATATTAATTTTAACAGTCCTTACTTACTATTGTTTTGAAGAGCAATTTAAAATATGGTATTTGAATAGCCGCCATTTTGGTTTTTAAATTTTCCCGCCTTTTCTTTATATTAATTTTAATAATCTTTGATATTGTTTTGAATAGACATTAAAAAGATGGAACTAGGATCGCCGCCATTTTTATTTCCTAAATTTTCCTTCTTTTCTGTATATTAGTTTTAACAGTCCTTACTTGCTATTGTTTTGAAGGGCAATTTAAAAGTTGGCATTTGAATAGCCGCCATTTTGGTTTTTAAGCTTTCCCGCCTTTTCTTAATATTAATTTTAATAAACCTTGCGCTATTGTTTGGAAGAGACATTAAAAAGAAGGAACTAGGATCGCCGCCATTTTTATTTCTTACAGTTTTCCGCCTTTTCTGTATATTATTTTAACGGTCTTTACTTGTAATTGTTTTGAAGAGCAATTTAAAATATGGTATTTGAATAGCCGCCATTTTTGTTTTATTTTAATTTTCCCGCCTTTTCTTAATATTAATTTTAATAAACCTTGCTATTGTTTGGAAGAGACATTAAAAAAAAGGAACTAGGATCGCCGCCATTTTTATTTCCTAAATTTTCCCTCTTTTCTGTATATTAGTTTTAACAGTCCTTACTTGCTATTGTTTTGAAGAGCAATTTAAAAGTTGGCATTTAAATAGCCGCCATTTTGGTTTTTAAATTTTCCCGCCTTTTCTTAATATTAATTTTAATAAACCTTGATATTGTTTTGAAGAGACATTAAAAAGATGGAACTAGGATCGCCGCCATTTTTATATCCTAAATTTTCCTTCTTTTCTGTATATTAGTTTTATCAGTCCTTACTTACTATTGTTTTGAAGAGCAATTTAAAATATGGTATTTGAATAGCCGCCATTTTGGTTTTTAAATTTTCCCGCCTTTTCTTAATAATAATTTTAATAATACTTGATATTGTTTTAAATTAAAAAGATGGAACTAGGATCGGCTCCATTTTTTTTTTAAATTTCCCCAATTTTCTGTATATTAACTTTAACAGTCCTTACTTGCTATTATTTTGAAGAGCAATTTAGAAGACTCGACCGTCGCCATTTTTGATTGTTAAAATTTTCCCGCCTTCTCTCTGACGAATGAACCGTGGCGAGATGTCAAGACTATTCAGCAACCAGTCTACCGTCACTCCGCTTTGTCTCCAGCACCGTGACAGATTATCTATTTGCAAATTTCACAGATAACAGATTTTTCTTCTTAAATTGCGTGTCGGTAAATTGTTTAGTACAGTTATAATAAGTAAGGAAGATATTGTTATAATTTTTAGATGGTGTTATGTAGGTTGTATAAGGTTATATAGGCCTCGATAAACTAGCGGCTGAGCACACCGCTTTACTTTCGATGGTCGCGGATTCGATTCTTCGCACAATACAAATGTTTTTATATATCAGCGTGATTGTTTGTATTTGGTTTAGTGTGGATATTATTTCATTAAGTATTGTTATCAGGGGCTGTTCAAGTATTACGTAAGCACTATGGGAGGGGGGGGGGGGGTTGGCTTAGCTTATTTTGTATGACATGGGGGGTGGGGGTGTCTAGATGATGATTACGTCATCCGTAGGTTTCTTTTTTACGCGAATGGCAACCCTCACATTGTCTGTTAAAAAAACAATACATTAATTGAAAAATGTTTACGTAATCATGGGGGGAGGGGGTAAGAGCATTGCTTACTTTTGCTGACAAGGTTTAAATTATAAGTTTCAATTTATTAAGGTTCTATTGTCAAAGACTATACTTCTATGTGTGTGTAAGGTTCTATTGTCAAAGACTATACTTCTATGTGTGTGTAAGGTTCTATTGTCAAAGACTATACTTCTATGTGTGTGTGTTTCAAATACATGGTAGAGTGTGTAAAGTTTTTTTATTATTTAATATATTGTTTATGCACAATTAAAAAAAAATATTAGCAATCCATTACGTACACTTACAGTTTATACAGAGAAGGATGCCACTCCTCTATATAAACTACTAGCTGAAAATCTGTTATTAGCTTTCTCTAGAAGGATGAATATATATGTATAAGAAGAAGAAGATAAATGAATATATAGGATTGTAAGCTATTGGTTTTCTAATAAATGAATAAGTAAATAAACATCATATATATATATATAGTTTTGAAGTTTAAAATATGTACCACAATGTTGCCAATTGCAATCTTATTTCTTTTGTTTAAGTAGTATATAGCATATTTTTACAAATATATCGAGTATAAAAAATATATAGCAAAAAGTGGTTATACTTTTATTTTATTATAAGGTCTTCGTATATTTTATACAAAAGCAGTTTCGGTTACTGAAAAATGTACTGTATTGTAGTTGTAATTAAAAGTTACCTTTATATGATGACCTCAGTGGTCTAGCGGTTTAGCATACATCTAATTGTTGCAGATTAGATTCCTAGCGCGGTACAAACATTTGTATTCATGAGTATCATTATTTGTATTGGTATAGGCGTTTTTATATACTAGCTGTGCCCGCGGTTTCACCCACATGAATTTTAGAGCCTATATGTTATTCTGATGCTATATTACTGTAAAGTTTCATGAAAATTCGTTCAGTAGTTTTTACTTGAAAGAGTAACAAACACCCATCCATCTCGCAAACTTTCGCGTTTATAAATCCTGCAATTTTCAAAAACGCGGTACTAAGTTTTGCTCCACTTATTAATGTAAAAAATATGACGTTCATAAGCGGCTAAAATGTCCTATATGTATAAATAAAATAGAATAGAATAGAATATAAATTATTTATTCAAATAAAACTTACATTGAAGTACTTTTGAATAGTCATTACATTTTTTGAATCTACCGCTCATTCGGAAAGCTGTCTCATGACAAATGATTTTTTAATTGAATTTATTACTAGTATTTACATAACCTAATTGTACAACTAAGAACCTAAAATATATATAAATAAAAGTAAAATATATATAATAAGTATATATAAAATAAAAATATGTAATATGATGACTAAAATATATTATTAAAAGGGGGTCCCTTTAGGCAACGTTCCGAAGATACTGGCAGCATTTTTTAATTTGAATTTGAAAGTAATATAATGTATTTTCATCCACAGTCACAATGAACGGTCTCAACGGTCACAGCAACGGTGAGGTGAACGGTGCCGGCGACATCATCACGCAGAACCAGCAGCGCGGCTGGTGGACCATCGGGCTGATCAACTCCCGCTACCGGTACCTCACCGCGGAGACCTTCGGCTTCAAGATCAACGCCAACGGTACCAGCCTCAAGAAGAAACAGATATGGACCCTGGAGCCAGCTGGAAATGCTAATGACAGTAAGTTTTTTTTTGTTTCCTCTGGAAACCATCCTGAAGATACCAGAATGAGCTAACTGACCTGACCTCATGTTCAGCTTATCATCCTCTACTGGTGCCCCGTCAGCGTAAACCGTTAGCGCAGGCGGGTGCACCATTCCATTATCATCCATAAGAGTAGTCAGCATACGTGACTGACTCAGCTTTCGTGATCTACGGGTTTAGCATACGCTTTACTTGCGATCGTCGCGGGTTCGATTCCAGCACAGTGTTAACATTTTTATTCATGTGTTATTGTACATCGGTCTGGGTATTTTCTATGTATATTATGTATGTATGTATTTAAATATTTATATCAGTTCTCCAGTAGGTACCGATAACACAAGCTCTGCTTACGAGTAGCTTTGTACCAAATAGCGCTGTGTGAATTGTCCATGGCTAGTCGTAATAAATAAATAATAATAATTTATTTATCTATACATATAAATAAAATTGGAGTGTCTGTTTGTAATATTGAAATAACCGTTTTTTACCACATGCATATGAATATAAATACGGTACATACACCAAAATGGCACTTTTTATAATTCTTGTGTCTGAAATGCCTGGACGGATTTTGACGGGATTTTTGTTGGCAGGTAGCAATAATGCATAAAGAGGATATAATAAGGAGTAACTTAGACTTTTTTTATTTTATAAAAATAAAGCTAAATTCCACGCGGACGAGGTCGCGGGTACAGCTAGTTATTTATCCTTTATTGCACTATTTAAAATAATGTACAAATGGCGAGATTAATACCATATGGCATTATCTACCAGCTAACCATTGGGTAGAAACAGAAAGTGGTTGATGGGCAATAATGGGAAAAGGCATACTAATTATATTAACCTAATATTTATAAGTTATTACATAAAAACAAATATATTTTTACTCGACAATAACCTACACCACGTAACATGTCTTTTTTTAAATATACCCATTTTGCCGTCATCAGAATGTCAATTACAGTTATAATTCACTGACAATTAAACAACCACGACGAAATGACACGTTTTTCGTCGCATTCCCCTCACTAATGACAACATAACCCGCCCCACGTCGAACGAGGGTTGTTTGATGCCATATGGGCAGAGAAACCCCACATGTAGCTTTCTGTTCCGAGGCACGTGGCTACGAAATCAGCTGTTAACGAAACATGTTTTTTCATTGACCTCAGTTCTTTCCTTCCTATTTTTCACGGACTCCAAAAAAGGAATACAATAGAAATAATATTTATTCAAATAAACTCAATGCAAGCATTTTTGAATAGTTAATAATTACACAATAACTAGTAATTATATCATAATTAATATATATACATATATATATAAATATTAGCAACCTGCACTCCTCTATATCTTATATATAAAATTCTCGTGTCACAGTTTTCGTTCCCATACTCCTCCGAAACGGCTTGACCGATTCTCATGAAATTTTGTGACCGTATTGAGTAGGTCTGAGAATCGGCCAACATCTATTTTTCATCCCCCTAAATGTTAGGGGTAGTCCACACCTAAATTTTTTTTTTTATTTTTTAGACAAAATTTTTAGTTTCTATTTTTTTTATGATACAACATACAATAATACATACAATACTAAATTTTCACCCTTCTATCATCAACCCCTATTTTTTTATAGTGTTATTAGTTTATATGGCAAAACAACGTTTGCCGGGACAGCTAGTATAAACTATAACGGCCTTATTACAAAAAGATAAACCTGGTTTAGCACTAGTAATAAACCATTCACCAATGTATTCCTTATTACAAAATGAAGTTTATCTCTAAATCGTGATTCGTCTATGGTCTAAAGTTAGACCTGCGATGCCCCTAGTTTAACAGTGGTCTAAATGCAAAAAAACAAACTCCATTTTAAAAATTGTATTTTAAGTTGTTGTTTTTCGAAAAATATTTTAACTAAATTAAAAATATATTAACTAAAAATATTTAAAGCTAATTTTACGGTAATAAAAATATATAAAAGACGGTATTTGTTATTTTTTCACTCATTTGACTTTGAAATAGTCACCATTCGCATCGATCCAATAAAAATATCCCGCCGTTCCTTTTCTCCGTATAGGACTCCTACTTGTAACTTAAAACTGATTTTCAGCCTAATAGTACATTAACAAATATTATATATTAATGAAATAGTTATAATGAAGACATAGATAAATGGAAATAAATTTATTTTTAGTTTATACATTTTTATTTGAAGTAATATTATTTTTGATCTTTTCAGTTTTCTGGTAAAATGGAACGTAATTGTACGGTGACAGACATGAGTGACTGATTTCTGTATGTAATACATAATGAACGATTTAACTGTAGTACTAGGTAGTCCTCTGTTAGATCTGGATTCGTAATAATGTTAGGTTTATTCCAAGTATTAACTTTAGGAATGGTTTAAACCACGACCATTTAGACCACGTTTCGTCCGAGTTTTAACAGATTTTTTGTAATAAGACCGTAAGTGTGCGAAATTTCATACCCCTACATCCGAGCAATTTTCGTAAAAAGGTACAAAAAAATTTATAATGATACGCGTAGTATCAATATAATATATGTAATATAATAATGTAATGCGTAGGAATGAAGATCATATCCTAAGGACGGTGTTACATATGAATGTGGATGGTTATAAGTGTAGAGGAAGACCAAAAAAGAGATGGATGGACTGTGCGAAAGATGATATGGTGAGAAAGGGAGTCAATAACGAGATGATTGCGAACAGAGATGAATGGAAGCGAAAAACATATTACGTCGACCACAAATAAATGGGATAAGGAAGAAGCAGATGATGATGTGTAGTATCAATATAAGATACAAACTGAGCCCCCTGTTTCACCTGCGTTAAATTTCAATATAAAATATACCCTATATGTTATTCAGATGCATAAGCTGTAATTACTGTAAAGATTCATCAAAATTCTCTCAATAGTTTTTGCGTGAAAGACTAACAAACTTACAAACTTTTTCATTTATAATATTAATAATAAGATAAAACTCTGAATATCAATCAAACTCGATACTGAGAATCGAACTAAAGGCATTACGAAAGAGATACAAAACGAACGGCAAAAATAATTGATAACTATATCTTGAACTGTACTTATCTGTAACGTTACTCCGTTACAGATAAATACAGTTCAAGATATAGTTACTGTCTCGGTCGTGAAGTGGAGTCTGTTAAATCTGTTTAACTGTAAATAGTTATGGTCAATGGTCCACCATTTTTATGGTCAATATAAAATTGTAATATTCATTACACATTTGACTACCTCGGTGGTGTGCCACACCGATTTACTACCGATATGTTCTGGTTCGATTCCTCGCTCGGTGCAAACATTTGTATTCATGAGTATGATTGTTTGTATCGGTCTGGGTGTGGTGACTTCGACTCGATCTCATCTTTATTAATCTACACATATAAATATAATTGGAGTGTCTGTTTGTAATATTGAAATAACCGTTTTTACTACATGCATATGAATATAAATATCGTATACACCAAAATAATCTCAGGATAATTCACACAGAGCCATCTAGTTCCAAGTTAAGCTAGCTAAAGCTTGTGTTATGGGTACTAGATAACTGATACAAATACATACATAATTTTTTTCGTAAATATGTACATATTATACATAGAAAACATCGATATCGATACAAACAGTCGTACTCATGAATACAAATGTACCGTGCGAGGAATCGAACCCGCGACCATCGTATCGTAAAGTATTTTGAATACGAATTATTTTCGTAAATGTGTTGAGTAGGTAATGTTAGTCTACCTGAGTGACTGGAGGATAGGGAGGGACAAACGGGACCTTGACAATGGGGCGCGACCCTCCGACAGAGGGTTGCAGGGATTGGGCCATGAAACGTTGATGTTAATATTGTCTATTCCATTTATTGGATCATAAGGAAATATAGAGTAGCATAAAAAAACATGCATAAGTGACTCAAATTAGAGATGTGCTAACTCGTAATGACTCGAGTTAACTCGATTTGAAATTCAGGTAATTCGAGTAAACTCGAGTTGACTCGAGTTACCTGGAATAAAAAGTTTTTTTTTATTATTTCGAACAATTCTAATGTTTTTGGGCGCAGCTAGCCTTGAAAGCTTCATCGAACTATAGGGGGCAAGTAGAAATGGCACTTTAAAGCCGCAGAAGGACTTATGGAACGCATAATCATTTTAATGATAACATAATCGGACGAATATGCGAAAAAAAATTATAACAACCTCAAATCAATACTGAAATATTTGTGACGAGTGAAAATGGTATGATATGAAATGATTGGAAAAATTCATATCATTGTCGGTTCGATGACAGAATCATGCTCTCGCTCTTTCACTTGATTCATTCATTTACCAGTTGAATTCTTCCAACTCGAGTTGGCAGAATTCAACTCAGGTTAACTCGAATTATGCGCAACTCGAGTTAACTCGAGTTGACACAACTCTAACTCAATGTCCTAATTTAAATATTTTTTAGTTTGAATTTGATAACTAACTTTACAACTCACAATACAGAATATATTATCGGTAATAACATATGTAGTTACCTATAGAATCATGGATTTGGAAATCGGTTTATTATTTTTTTTTATTTTAATAAATAATTCATCATCATCATCATCTGCTTCTTCCTTATCCCATTTATTTGGGGTCGGCGTAATATGTTTTTCGCTTCCATTCATCCCTGTTCGCAGTCATCGCGTTATTTACTTCCTTTCTTACCATATCATCTTTCACACAGTCCATCCATCTCTTTTTCGGCCTTCCTCTGCCCTTATAACCATCCACATTCATTTGTAACATCTTTCTTAAAATATTATCCTCGTTCCTACGTATTACATGTCCATACCATGATAGACGATTACTCTTCAACCTCTCTGACACCGGTGCCACTTTCATACTTCCTCTAATGTATTCATTCTTTATCTTATCCATTCTTGTCACACCACACATCCACCTCAACATTCTCATTTCAGTTGCATGCAGTCGTATTATTTTAAAAAACAATTATTTGTTTAATATTTTTACATGCGGTTTTTTTAATAGCTAGAGTAAACCTTCCTCTTGAATCACTCTATCTATTAAAAAAACCGCTTCAAAATCCGTTGCGTAGTATAGCATATATTTATAGATTTATGCGTACACTCGTGTGTAGCCGGGGCGAGTAGATTATCACTACATATTATAAAACAAAGTGGCTGTCGCTGTCTGTCCCTATGTATGCATAAATCTATTTTTTAATATCTATAAATCTATCTATAAATCTATTTTCTAAGCGATTTTTTTAATAGATAGAGTGATTCAAGAGGAAGGTTTACTCTAGCTATTAAAAAAAAAGCTTCAAAATCCGTTGCGTAGTTTTAAAGATTTAAGCATACACAGGGACGGACAGACAGCTATAGCGACTTTGTTATACTATGTAATGATACATGTGTACACACGTAAGAGTAGCGAGGGGCGAGATTATTATTAATAATCCTCACTAAGTTAATACCGCTCATCAGCCTCCGATACAATAATTATAGTCGGTATGTCCATATATAATTTTATAGTATTACAGATTAAATTGCATCCGTACAACGGTATTTGAATCACGATTATGATGAGAAAGTTATGTTTGCTGTAACAGTTTGCGGCGCGAGCGCATACCGCAATCACCTCGTCATTTCGGAGTCATTTAGATCAGACGTTACCAAAGTTTTTGTGTCGTAGACTCCTTGCCATATTTTTCTGTATGGGTAGACCTCCAATTCTTACCTGGTGTTGATTTTTTTGTAAATTTCTAACTGTAGTACAGCATAAAGTAAAAACAACAAGATTACCCTTTGCAGTTTGTCATAGACCCCTGGGGGTCGATATAGACCACTTTGGGAATCACTGATTTAGATCAATAGAAATAAAAATAATCTTTATTCAAATAATCATCGAAAGATTGCAATACATCATCATTGTATTGCAATCTTTCGATGGCAATACAATGATGATGTTATTCCCAAACTTTCGTGTGGTTTCGTGTTCTCAAACTTTCCAAACCATACTATATGTATTAAACATATAATATACTGTTATAAATTTGACGCCGTCATTATTTATACGTATAACTAGCTGTACACGTGACTTCGTCGGCGTGGAATTTAACTTTATATAAAAGAATTTTTCTTTTATATCTATTCAAAAATTTTATGTTTCTGTTTTATAATGTGGCATTAAAAATACATACTTAAAACTTATGCATAATTAAAAACAAAATATTATGCACCCGGGAGTACAGGGTCTCTACTTGTTATATATATAAAACTCTCGTGTCACAATGTTAGTTACCATACTCCTCCCAAACGGCTTGATTGATTTTTATGAAATTTTATATACATATTCAGTAGATCTGAGAATCGGCTACTATCTATTTTTCATACCCGTAAGTGGTAAGGGATATCCACCCCTAAATATATATTTATTTTTTGCCATGATATTTTATTTTCATTTAATTATTATTTGCTATTGAAAAATACATACAACCCTAAATTTTCACCCTTCTATCAGCAACCCCTATTTTTTAATAACGATTTTAATTTATGTGGCATAACAACGTTTGCAGGATCCACTAGTATTTATATATTAAGATTCACAATTCAGAACCACATACCGTTTGTTTAACTGTGATTTTCTTCACCCAGGTATGATCTACCTGCGGTCTCACCTGGACAAATACCTGGCGGTGGATTCCTTCGGGAACGTCACCTGCGAGTCTGAGGAGAAGGAGGCCGGCAGCAAATTCCAAATCAGGTGTGTATACTATTGAAATTACTGAACACTGCGAAGAAAATGATAAGCTTATTTTAATACCTTATTTGATTGTGTTTTTGGAATTTTTAATTCCAAAAATAAAAAAATACTCCTCCTCACTCAGAAAACTGTGCCGTGATATGTCTGAAGAAAGCCTATTACAGGATAGACGAATTCATAGACGACAACATATCAAGTAAATAATTAGTTTATTAGCATACAACGTTATAATTTGTTTATCTCATTGCTTTCTTGATTCAATTATTTTAGAAATATGAAAGCGTAGCGGGTTTTGTATTAATTGCCGCATGCATTCTTATGTGAAATGTGAATACTATAAACATCAGATGGCAATTGTGAGTAGCTATGACGTGGTCTGGTGTTTTGAGTAGTCATGCTCACTAAAATGTCCAGACTTGTGGCGGCGTGGTGGGCCGGGTCATTGGGCCTAAAATATGGTAAATATGGTCGAGCGCAGTGGTGGCTGGCTCATCCGACATACTCGTGAACGGGTGCTGCTTGTGTGGACTGGTCTGCTCTAATCACTATGACTTATTTACTCTTATGAATTGTTTAACCAGTTGTTGTATATTGAATGTTTTTATTTCTATTTTATTATTTCATTGAATTAGTGCTAATCGGTGGTTTGTATTCACACACTTAAACTTAAATTGTAAGTAAGAATAAATTATTTAAAAGAGCAACACACAAGTTTTTTGCTTGTTCTTCTTGTGATGAAACAGCATTCCGAATGAGCGGTAGATTAAAAAAAAAATGTTATGACTATTCAAAAGTGCTTCAATGTAAGTTTATTTGAATAAATGATTTTCTATTCTATTCTATTCTATTCTATTCTGCACTCCAAAAGCGGGGTAATGCAGGGTAAAAGTAGTGTTGAATTTATGTTTATTTTATGTTTTCAGTGTGTAGTTTATGTTTGATTTTTATTTATATATGGTAGTATGTCGTAAATGTTTGCTTTGTGTTGTCCGCCTGGATTTATGTATGTATGTGTATTATTATTATTATTTTATTATGTTTATTGTATATGAAGGTGTCCGCTGAAAACCAGCGTCGTGGCACCCCGTCACGACATATGCTGAGCGGAGACCTAGTTGGTACTCTAATTATTATTATAAAATGTAAATTAAATTTTAAAAATTATTTTCAGTGTACCAAATAAACAATTTTCTTTCTTTCTTTCTTTCTTTCTTTCTTTCTTTCTTTCTTTCAATTAAAATAAATTGTGAGTGTGTTTCAACCGCCATTATCACGGGTAAACTCTCGGGAACTCAGTATATAAATATAAAACATGGTGAGATCCCGTGATTTTTACTAATTATGTTCAAAATATTCAATATATTGAATATTTTAATTATTGTTACTATTACTTTACTGTATATTTACTATTTTACTAATATTGTAAACGCGAAAGTTATATGAGTACGTATGTATAGATAGATTTTTTATTATTTACGACCTCGGTGGTCTAGCGGTCCAGTCTACCGCTTTACGACCGATGGTAGCGGGTTCGATTCCTCGCACGGCACAAACATTTGTATTCATGAGTATGATTGTTTGTATCGGTCTGGGTATTTTCTATGTATAATATGTATGTATTTACGAAAAAAAATATATCTATGTATTTGTATCAGTTGTCTAGGACCCATAACACAAGCTTTAGCTAGCTTAACTTGGGTCTAGATGGCGCTGTGTGAATTGAATTGTGTGAATTTCATTTTTGGGTTTTTGTTTCCAAACACATCAATTCAAATTCAAAATTTATTTATACATTATTCATGTATTCATTATATAGGTGTCTATGTCTAACATTAATTGAAAATCCCGTGCATGAACAACTATTGCCATGCACGCTCGTCATTCAAGTAATCGTTTAGTGAGTAATAGGCTTGCTCGGTAAATATGATTTAATAATGTTTTATAAATTAGTTTTAGTAAAGGCTAACGAACTTACTGCATATACAGAAAGTATTGACCTATTAAGATGATACTTAATTACTCTTAAAATTATTTATTTACTTCTTAAAGTAAAATCATATGTAAATAGATGGTGTCTACACTTTAATGGTTATTTAAATAGTGCGTTGTTAACCGATTTACTTTTATTACACTGTAAACGATCACTTAACAGACGAGCGAGCACGGCGCTACGGGAATTTATATTCAATTCAATATTCATTAACATATTCAATATATTGAATATTAACTTAACACAACTTCGTCTGCATCACACGTACTTGACATTTATCATTATACTAGCTGTTCCCGCGACTTAGTCCGCGTGGAATTTAACTTTATTTTTCTAAAATAAAAGTACCCTGAAGAACTAAACTTATTTTGTTCGTCTTAATTTATTCGTTCCATTCGGTACTGATAGGTTCAAACTAATACATTTACATCCTGCATCATCCCTTATTTTATCCCCATGGGGGTTGAATTTTTCAAAATCCTACTTACGCGAATGTCTTCATCATAGTAGCTCTAATCTTTAATTTCAGTTCGATCAGTCGAAAATCTAAGAAGATTTATACAAACTTTCATCCCCTATTTTATCCCCTAAGGGGTGGAATTTACCAAAATCCTTTCTTAGGGGATGCCTACGTCATAGTAACTTTATGCCTGCAAAGTCTCAGCCCGATCGGTTTAAAATTGACAAAGTTTCATACAAACTTTCATCCCCTATTTTATCCCCTTGGGGGTAGAATTAATCAAAATCCTTTCTTAGCGGATGCCTACGTCATAACATCTACCTGCATGCCAAATTTCAGCCCGATCCGTCCAGTGGTTTGGGCTGTGATAGATCACTATGTCAGTCACCTTTGAGTTATATATATTTAGATTTCGACCAATTTCGATATCTTTTTAAATTATGGTCTATGTATTATTCTGATATATAAGCTATATTACTGTAAAGTTTTAATAAAATTCGTAAGGTTATTTTTGTGAGAAAGAGTAATAAACATCCATACATCCATCAATTGCGCTGTGTTTGTATGCACTGATAAAATCAATTTATTAAATGGATTCCTCTCAGTTGGTAATTAGTTAATTATTGTTTAGAGTATTTTTAAGAATAATTATAATAAGCTTGATATAATGAGACTGACGGTAGATTTGGCATATCATAAGAGTCTGTAATAGACCTACATGAATAAAGATATTTTGAATTTGAATTTGAATGTATCCCTGAATAGGAGTGATGAATTACCAAGTAATTTTTCCATCTGCTTGGGGTTTTTCAAGAAGTCTGGAAAGCGCACTTGACACCTCTGGTAGGCGTCCATAGGCTACCGTAACCCTTTACCTCATACCGGCCATATCTTTTTTATTTTATGGTGGCAACACCACAATAAAATAAAAAATACTTTAAAAATCGGAATAGCTCGGTTGATGGCGGCTCAGATGTTAGTGTTTAGATGCAACAAATGTTGTAAAAGTTCTGCTCATCTCGATATTCCGAACTGACGGTAGATTTGACATATCACAAGAGTCTGTAATAGACCAACATGAATAAAGATATATATATATATATATTTTTTTTCATTTTTTTTTATTTTTTTTTTTTATTTATAAGTATTACTTATTATCGCCAAATTTTGAATTTGAATTTGAAAAAAATTATCGATAACTCGACTTGACTCGACGATCCTCCGGATATGTTTAAGCTAGCTTGCCCACTGCATACTAATCTCATGCAGCTGTGATTCATCGGAAACGATGTTTTGTCTCTTGGCTATGACAGCCTGTGCTTTATAGTCGCGCGTGACTCTTAATATACAGGGGTAATCGTAAAGAAAATCTGTATACCAAGTCATATGCACCAGTTACAATCTATACATATAAATAAAATTGGAGTGTCTGTTTGTAATATTGAAATAACCGTTTTTTACTACATGCATATGAATATACATAGAAATGCGGTACTTTTACCAAAATAATATTTTTTACAATTTTTGTCTGTCTGTTTGTTTCGACTAATCTCTAAAATGTCTGGACCGATTTTGACGGGACTTTTTTTGGCTGATGTAATAAGGAGTAAATTAGGCTATTTTTATTTTAGAAAAGTAAAGTTAAATTCCACGCGGACGAAGTCGCGGGTACAGGCAGTGATACTGTTACGAGTATATACGACCCCCTCATCGATTAAGTTTTATTACGAGTAGTAGTGTAGTTGTCAAATACTGATTGACATTGTTGTAAAATAAGAAAGAAAGAAAGAAAGAAAGAGAGAGAGAGAGAGAAAGAAAGAAAGAATAATATTTTATTCAGTGCAATGTAAAAAATACAATATATTATAAAAAGGACAATAGAATTCTTCTGCTGCAAACATACATATTATTTATTAGTAAACATATCATCTCACATATCATCTCAACAAAAAAGAACAAAAAAGAACCCCACCACAACAGATACATGAAACTGAATGAATCATTTTGACTTTTCCTTCTAATCGGTTTCTAAAGGCGTTATGTTACGTACAGGCTTGCCTGTATATAAACTTACCAGCTATTACCACGAACTTTTATTGTTTGTTTATTTATAAAAATAAATGAAATTTCTAAATTAAAAGACCCCTAAGATTCTATCTGTCTGTCTGTCAACCGATGGATCTATTTTGAATATTATATGTACCTTAGACTTATTATTAAATCATTAGAATCACTTTCTACATTTATCTTTAGGCATAACAGCGTATGAAAGCAGAAATTAAGTTAGGTTCGAGTTGCTTTTCACTCTAGTGACTCGAGTAATTTTTATATTACTCGCACTCGAGTTAAATTTTTGACAACTCGAGTTTCGAGTGACTCGTACCACTCGAGTGGTTTATACCGAGCCGAGTGAGAAATTCAAGATGTGACAAGTTTACCCGCTGTAGGTTCTCTTTGAGATTACGTAAAAATCTGTTTGAGTTGTTACTGTTTAATGTTTTGGTTATTTATGACTGTGTGTTATTAGTAAGTGGTGAAAATAAGTAAAAG